TAAGTCGTGATATGTACCCTTAAAGGGGAACGGAAGCCTAAAATTGGTATATTGTTTGCATTAATTTCTAGTTAGCTTTAGAGGAGTAAGATAAAGTGTCGATATTCATTTTCGTTCACTTCTTGTTTTTTACGAGAAAATTCGATTTGAAGTTGCTTTTTTCCCGCTTTTGGGGGTGTAAGACCGTCGGCTCAAAATAGGTCAGCAGCGGTCGTTTATGACGTCAGTGGTGGGGAACCAACTTAAGAAAAACAACTGTTACTATTTCATTTTCGTAGTTAATCCCCATTACAAGTCACGCAACTTCGATAACTCCATAACCAAACCAAATTTCTGTAGGAAGAGTACGGGTTTATTATCTTTCTTCCCCACCAGTGACGTAAGAGCGAGCTAAAATGACCGCTGACATCGATTTTCTAAGCCGCCGTACTACGAGGCCACAATACCACTTTAAACTATTTTTCCGAGGCGAAGTTGGGCCCAAAGACTGAAAAAAACCCTCGAACATTGCTATTTGAACTATAAGCTGCAATTTAAAAATGGTTCATTTTTAGGCTTCAGTTCAGTCCTCTTTAATACTCTTCATTGATCGCTATCATCTCCGAGAGACACTTTTTTCAGGGATCGAAGTGATCCGGAAGGCAGGTGTTATCGAACAAAAGAGGCAAAACAAAAAACCGAGAAAACACCAAAAAAAAAAACAGCTATAAAAACCATCAAAATAACTCATTGATTGACGAAACTCGTTTAAAACCAGTCATGAAAAACAAATGAACTAGATCATCTTTTTAGTGCAGAGAGATACAGCTAATTCAACATAATAGTCAGTGCTTGAGTCTGCTGTGAGAGAATCTGAAACGGAACTTCAAGGATCATTTTTGCTGAAGTAAGGAATTAAGAAAATATGACCGGGATCGGGATTAGCCGGTAGAAACCGTCGGGATCTCGGGATTGAGGGAAAATTCCGGTCGGGATGGCGAGATTGAAGAGCCCTATTGGGGACCCTCTGTTTGAGCAAAAGCATAACAAACGTAAGCTTAATAACCACGATAGAGGACACATAAATATAACAATTACGTTTATCCTCACTGATGAAAGTCCAACATGGCATTTTTGGTGTCGTTTCCAGAGTTTGATCACGAGGCACCTTGTATTTATCAGCAAATGTCACTGTCACTCTGTCGACATCCACATTTCAGTGTTCACTGCTAACTGGTTTGATTTCTAGTTTGATCCTAGAGAGACCTTCGCTAAATCATTTGATTCTTTTACTATTTTGAGTTCACGGAATGACCGGTTCGAAATATACGCTCATTACAAGCGCCATCTTTTAGAGTGGGTCTACCGCGAACGGTGTGTGGGTCTGTATGTTTGAGCGTAGAAAGATGACACAAATTAAATTGTTAACACATTCGACATATCCGCCATCTTTGAAATCGTGGAAAAAAGGTTGCCCCTTTATAATTATGTGTCTGCGGTATTCCCTATTGCACGTGACGGAGTTTTTTGGAGAAACCCGATGGTAAACCTATAGTCGGTCGCCCGACTAATAATATTTACATTTCAGAGTAATTCCTGGTGTGGCGACGTAAAAAGGTTTAGAGGCCCTTGGAGAACGGTTTAGGTGCATTCCCCGACGGATAGACTCACTTTCGGTGCACATTGAATTTATTTCACATGTTTTGCTAACTGGGGCGATTTTAGATCTCACAAAGCTGGTTGAAGTGTAAAGGTGAGCAAACAGATCGTGACGGCCAGAAATTCATTTCACTTTTGCGCGCGGCACCGCTGACCGAAACGCAGGCTCTAGAGACGACAAACGGATCGTGAGGTATTTCGCCATTGTCAAAACTCCTAAACAGCTGGGAAATGTCGAAGAAGAAACAAGATAAACTGCAACGTACCTTTAGATATTTCGCCTGAATACAATTAACTTAACATTTTGATCGACCGATCCAGGAACTTAGTGCATGAATGTCCGACTATTTCTCTCGAACCCTCTCCACATGCTTGGTTAACTTTTAGGTTTTCTCTCCTTTCATTTAGGTTTTCCTCGATTTCCCTTTTGATCTACCTGAAAGAAACTTCTTTTTGGGCGAGGAATTTCTGGATGCTTACTAATTTACGCAGTCAGAAGCGAAAGGTAGTGAAATTAAAAATTAAATCAAAATATTTACAACGTCACTATGGAGACTAATTATGGATTAAACACATATATCTTTACCATCAAAATATTTACAACGTCACTATGAAGACTAATTATGGATTAAACACATATATCTTCACCGTCAGCCATGAAACATTTGGTTTAAGTATACCAAATGTTTAACGTCTGATGGCAAATCTTTCAAACGTACTTGAAAGGTTTAATTTGCGAGTCTTATTCACACGAAAATTCTAATCTGATTGCTCGACCTGTAATGATAACAGAAAAGATAGACATCGAAATTGAAACTCAGTCTGGGGTTTTTCCCTCCCGCAATGGCGTCACACTTGTGATCAAGCTGACTTTATCAAACCAGCAAATGCTCCCTGTCTGCACTGTGCACAAGGGAAATGTTGGCAATGGACAAATTTTTTTAAAGACACCGCGAAGACTGGAATTACAGGAAAGAGCATCGGTCCCCATAACATTAGTTAGACAAGGAATTTCAAAGCGCTTGGGAGTCAACTTTAAAAACATGGTAACGACTTGGGAATGTTGTACATATTTTAACCGTTTACCGGAATATTGGAGTGTTTCACTGAGGTGTTTGGAACTCGAGTTTCAGTTAGAACACTACCTAAGCAGGGTCGAAATCACGAGAAATCAGGCTCACTAGACCGTTCGAAAACTAAAATATTCGAACCTTAACAAAAACGGTTGCAGATTTCGAATTTGTTGTAAGGCAGCGCTACAGCATGTGATTGTACGCTTTTTCTCCTCGTTTTCTGCAGCAGCGCTATGAGCGAAGTTCATCGGAATCCACAGAACTGAGCATTACTTCAGGCAACTGCTTACATAGCCCAAATTTGCATACAGTCAAGAGTTTGCATAATGATTCCTTGCCAATATCAAGAATGCAATCTCTCTCTCTATCTATATATATGGTATAGGTTGAAAAGATGTGAAATCGATTACGTTTACATTACAGTTCTGTTTCGAGATGTTCTTTTCAACCCATAGTACATTATTATTATTACCGCTCCGCAACTCGAGCACTTTTTTAGTTTAGCGAGATATTCTTACAAACATGAATATATAAATATATATATATATATAGAAATAGATATAGATATTGATATATATAAAGATTTACCGACTACTTTATTGGACTATTTTACCATCTAGCAAAAAAGTTTGATTCGAACAAGAAACGAATCTCACAGTCAAAAGTCATAATCTTTGGTCGATTGAGCAGATGTAGAGATCAGAAAGTCACGCAACGAGGCGACTGGGTTTTTTCCCCTAAATGATTACTTTCCATCTGCTGGTTCATTTCCTCTTGAGTTTCTGCCGCCTTAAAATCATAATTATTACAACAGATGTTTATTTAAGAACGCTCGAAGCGGAATCAAGGTTGTAGTAGCCAGCTAAAGTCACGTTATTTCATACCATTTGCTAGTAGATAACCGGAAATAGTACATGAAGACTGAGGTAACCAACGAGGAATCTATTTAAAATTCCACTTTGGAATTTACTCCCGTTTTGACGTTCACTGATTTGGAACGATTACATCATGGTTATAACTTTCGACATCCATAAACGTGTAATCCGTCCAGGGATGCCCAAGCTAGTTTTCCTTTCACTCCACCTGGGCATCCCTTTGGATTTTATTCCACAAAAGAAATTGGAGGTGACGCTTTTAATGAAATTCATTGATTATTAGCTGTTGTGACAATAATTACCATACCATATACCATGGTCAGAAGTGAAATTTTTCAAAGATTAAGACCAAGCGGTATTTTTCAGTCTAAAAAAAACTTAAATAAAACAAAGAGAAGGTTGAAAGCGATCAAAGTGTGAAAACTATGGAAAGTGAGTGAAAAACAATAGCTGTGAAATCATTGGAATATATCATGCATAATTCCAAAGATCGCAAAATTGTGTAGATAAAAGTTTTTACCCCAATATATCCTAGCTGTACGGAATGGTTGCACGATCCAAAACACTCGATTTCCTTTTTTCATTGTACTTTTGAACTTTACGCTAAGTTGAATGTTCAAGTAAAATAAACAAAAAAAAGGGAACAAAACAAAGTAGCAAATACTTAAAGAACAGCAGAGACTGACTACAACTTTGATAAAACTTGACTTTCAGGAAAACAAGATGAAGACGATGCTCGAGCTGTTGAAAGAGAGTCGCAAATTAGTTAAGTTAATCAGGCACTATTTTCCAGCAAAAGTTCATGCTCCCATGATTCCACATCGTCGTGGATTTTATCAGCGTAAAGAAGATAAAGAAGTTATGAACACATTGAGACGCCTTTGCAAAAATGATAATTTCTCGCGCGTGAAGACCCTGATTTTACACGGGCCAGCAGGTCACGGTAAAGTGCCTTGCGCAGCAAATTTGATGGATCACCTCTACACTAAGCCTGTACGCTCGCGATTCTTCTGGAACAAAGTGTGGAATTATCGAAACAGACCAACAATCCTGGGGACAGTTAAAGCAACAAATAAAGCAACGATGTTCGAAAGTTTCTGTAGACTTGCCAAAGAAATCGGTTTGACTGAACAGGCCAAGGCTGCAAATCAGGAACTATCACTTCTCAGCAGAACATCAGAAGGAAGGCAATACCACATAAATCTTCAAAACCAATGCCAAGAAAATGCCTATGACAAACCTTTGAAACAAATTTACGAAGAAGTTATGAATACCTTGAGATGCCAGGGTTCCTGGGTACTATTGATAGAAGGTGTCGAAGAAGATAGGCTTAGTCACCAACAGTTTTGGCCGTCGCCAGGTGATGCAAGCTTTGGAAATGGTCTGGTCATCATGACTACTACAGATTCCAAGTTATTTCAAGAGGAAGGAGATGACTATCCGTTGGCGAAGGTGTTCATTGGTAAAATGACTAAAAAAGATGCAGTTAGATTTCTTGCGAAAAAAAGTGGTATTCCCGTAGCTGTTGCTGAACGCTTTGCAAATCTGGCACGTTGCATTCCCCAGGATATAGCAAAGTGAGTTCCTTTATCTTCTAAATAAAAGCTAAAGCTAAAAGGATCGAATTGAGAACCTTAAAAGTTATTTATAATCCTCTCCACAATCAAGCAATTAATGTATGAGTTGACCATTCAATCAAAATCATACTTTCCACAAATTATCAATTCGTGTTACCCCATAACTCATCAGAGACCATTCCTTTCAAAAACATCTTTGGAGTTTGTAAGTCTGTAATTTCAATGCTTCCAATTTCAGGTTAGGAGCTTTTATGAGAGAATACAAAGAAGAGACGAATAAACAACTAACTTTTGGAAATTTACCCCCACCACCGGAAGATGATACATTTCCTCAGTATATGATAATGATGATGGAATTAACACGTGAAAATCAAACACAGGTAAGATCAAAATATTTTTTGTTTAACTTGCAGCAAGGAGAGCCAAACAACCAGGTCCAAGAATTGCGATTTTAGAAAAATATTCAAAACTTTACCGGGCGACCTCTTGACTACTTAGATTAATGGTTGAGCTGGTCTTTCTTCAATTAGTCGGTTAGGCAGTGTTCTAATCACTAACATGTTTAGTTCTCATTTATCCTCAGCTGTTAAAATTCTTGGCCTGCTGTTCAAGTGAGAACTACTTGCCCCTAGAAATTCTAGAGAGAGGTATTGCAGGTCCATTGGAAGAAGCAAATTTCAGAAAATTTGTCGATCTTAGTGAGAGAGAGGAAATTAAAGTGGTGACCATTCATCCCAGAGACCTCGCCATGCTCAGAGATATACTCAGTGGACAACGCCAAAATGATACTGGTTAGTTGCAAGTAACACTTCATAACGCTCGTTCAGCTCTTTCAAATAATGAAAGAAATGGCTGACAGAATATGCAATTCCTAGTTGCATTAGGAACCGACTCGAGAATGAAGGCAATCACCGGATCCTCCTTCTATCTTTAGCCAAAATATTCTAGGTTTAGATTATAGTGGGGGAAAACCTTGTTAGATTAGTAATATAGATCATTCTCTCTATTTCCCTCCACTGCTAATTCCAGACTTTATTGTTCTAATGTTGCAATTGTTCTACTCCTTTTGACAACGACATGCCCTCTCACTTTTTCCTCTCTTGGTGTTCATAAATCGTATTTTCTTTTAAGACGAAGATGTTATTCACTTACCTTTCTCCTTCTTTATTTTTGTAGAAAAAACGTGGACGTACGTATTAAACTTTGTCTTCCAAAAAAAAAAAGGCAACATAAACGCTCCTACGTTGTCGTGTCTCGATGTCTCACACGTGATAAAATGCCTAAGCGATGTATGCAAAGATGCCCTACATTACAACAGGGACAAAGACTTCAAATTGCTGCGCCTCGTTTTACCGCATCTAGAGGAAGCTGTGAAGGTATGCAATGAAGCAGCCGTTCCTGCAATAAATTTCCACTGATCTGAGGTTGGGAAGAAAAAAGCGTAAGAAATTCGCCGTTATCACCCTTTTTTGCAAAACCTGAGGCACAAATGACTGGGAGCTCTAGGTTGTGGTACTGGAAAAAATTAATATTTTCAGTCGTGTAATTTTGACGCAGATGTAAGCTGGGTTAAGCAGAACTGGGTTTCTTTAATGCACAAAAAGTGGTCTAGCATCGCCGGCAATTATACGGCGGCCGAGAAAATGAAATGTAAAGGAAACCACAAAGGACAAAATAAACCGCGTTTTTAATGAATTTGGCGTGTTCCACAGGGAGGAAATGAAAGGTAGAATTTGTAAAAGTTCAAACAGAATTGTCAATATGACCTACTGTGAGCCAGCAGTTTTGCTGATAAATATCTGATAAAGTAGACAGGGGCGTTTGTAGCAAATACACAGCTGCACTAATTTTAAATGAAATCAGGTGTGGCCTTCCGTAGACAAGGACAAATGCAGATCAGTGGGGGTGAATGATACATTTATACGTAAATAACAAAGAAAAAAACTGTTTTTCCTTAAAGCTCAGGGACAAATTAAAACTAGAAGGAGAATTCGACCCCATCGTCCTGGCTAACGGACATGCCTGTCTTGGAGAAGGTTTGCTCATCAATGGCAGGCCTGGGGAAGCAAGAGAGAACCTGAATATTGCACTGGATCTCTTCAAGAACTATGAAGGCGCGGAGAATGTACAACTTGACCTGGCTAATGTGTGTCACTTCCTGGGAGAAGCGCACAGCAACAGGTACTAGTTAAATCCATATATTCTGCGGGAATCCGGCAAAGGCCCAAATTTTCAACATCGACATCACATATTCATTTTACGGAAATATTTCGTATAAGTTGATCATTTTTTGAAAAATGCTCGTTGTTTCGCCTTATCTTAAATTCTAAAAATCCAACTTCTGACATTTTGATAAGAAAATAGAATTTCTTCTCCTAACCACCTGTAACTGAAGTAGTATTCACTAAAAATGCAGCTAGGTTTTGAGTCGCAATTCAATCATTATGGAGATAACGAAAGCTTTGAAAAAAAACCAACAAATTCATTCATGCCCGACCAAAATTCAATCTTGTTTGGTCAATTTGGTTTATCATAAGTTTGGAAATTTACTACAGAGTACTTCGACTGATGGTTCGAATTGCAGGCACAGATTCTTTTAACTAATATCGCATGCCTTCTGGATTAATTTACAAATTTATAGTCACCTCGCGAGCCCGTGGGAAGGAGTAATTTATCTAGACATAGCCTTGGAAATGAAAGAGGGGTTCTACAAAGCAGAGGATCACCCACAGATTGCTTTGACCCTACGAAGTCTTGGAAATGTATTAAACGAACTGGGAAGACACACTGAAGCTATGTAAGTATCGAAGGCAGTTAATTATGATCGAGAATCGTCCATCTCCATCTAAGACTATTTTCGCAAATCGCTCATATTTTTCCCGGATATAAACTTTAGTAAGTTATTTTCATAAATCATTTTTAAAGATCCAGCGAATTTTTTATCTTCAGAAAATGATAATAAATTCGAAAAAGCAATCAAATGGGGATACCGTCTCCCGGTTAGCTCAATGAATAGAGCGCTGGAGTGTTGTGCGGGAGGTCGAGGGTTCGAGTCCCCGCCGGACCAACACTCAGGGTCTTAAAATAATTGAGAAGAATTTGCTGCCTTTCTATAACATCAAGAAATGGTTAGATATTCTAGTCTTCTCGGATAGGGACGAATAAATGGAGGTCCCGTCTCCTGCAGGGTTGGGGTAGGAGACGTTAATTTCCCACACACGAGATTACTGTGTGATGGATGTCCTCCCCTGGGTGGGATGGGTGGGAAGGTGAGATCGATGGACTGAAGCGGCTGCCGTAGGCGCCTGATATGCTGACGTCTGTTCTCAACCTTAAACTGCACCCGTAATTCAGCCTTAGGCTGCAAGCGGTTAGAAATACTATATTATTATTATTATTACGCTCGACAGAATGTCCAAAATAAGCTGTTAGACAAAGCGGTTCTTAAGTTAAAATTACCTTAGTTAACGTAAAACGTTGTAAAAAGTTTAATCAGACGTCCTTCTCTGGTCTACTTTACAATTTTTAAACGTTCACAATAAAGTGATCATGACGAGACACTCCGTACCACTTCTATCCAACGACAACAAATGACAACGGCGACGAAATGTGAGGAATGTTTTAAAAATGTTCCAGGTACTTAATTTTCTTAAAGCCGTAAAAAGCCAGTTTGAGGATTCCCTTGCTAGTCTCGAACTCAGGACGCATCACTCTCAAAAAACTTGAATTTCGTGAACAGAAATAAAAGAAAATCACTCAAGATAGTAACTGTCTTTTTCATTAACCCTAGCTAGCCCAATGATAGATGTGCCTGTGTAGGATATGTAGCTTGTTATGACAAGCAGAGGCACTTAGAAAACCATTGTCTTATCAGTAACAGCAGGAATTTTTTACTTTTTCAAAAGCCAGAAAGATACTTGGCAGGCAACGAAATATTACCTCTGCCTAGGTTTTACTTCAAAAATTACGTTCGGGGCAAATTCGATATATTCTCAAATATGTTACGAACGGCTTAACCCTGCGTGACATTTTGAAGCTTGAGTGAAGAAGGCTAGCGAGAAATCTGCAAAGGGTTTGACCCTGATTATTAGATGAAGGTTAAGAATAGTATGCCAAGGTAATTCTTTCTAATGTGTTTTACAAAAATCGCTTTTGTCTCAGTAACTTCATCGAGAGAGCCCTGAAGATTTATGACGGTAAAGAAAACTTCAAACAGGAGTATGGTTTCACCCTAAGTGCATTGGGATCTTCGTACCGCTACCTTGGACGGTATGCTGATGCAGAACACTACCTAAAGAAGGCTCTCAAAATCTTTGAGTCCGTCGAATCACCAAGCGAACTAAGGGTAATATAATACTAAGCAATAACTTACCTTTAGGGTATAGTTAAAGTTAGTTCCAGCCTTGTTACATTTTCCCTTCCCTAATATTATTGTTTATCACATCACTGAAAGCGCCCCTGGCCAAGATGAAGGGAATCCTGGTTTCTGATTGGCTACCCGAGCGAGTGAGATGGGCCTATCTTGCCGCTCGCGATTGCCCGCTTTGATCCTGCGCAAGAAAAAAATTGCGTGGAGCGGACTTACAAAGTTCGTAACTTTGGGACTATGTCGGTAGTGAAATTGCAAAAATCGGTAGAGGACTGTCAAAACTAAGAAAAATTAAACGATCCTCTTAGGTTTATTGTGATACAAACACAGCTGGCTTTCTTTCCCGGCTTTCGAAATAAACAGGTCATTCTTGATTCTTATTAAAGCGAAACCTTTTTGCTTTATGATAAATCTTTTATTGACCAAGCTTGTCTCGTTCTTTTTTGGGGGTTTTATGGACCTCGACTTCGGTCCATAAAAATGCAAAAAAGGACTCGGCCAATATCCAGTCATCTTCACCTCACGCTTGGTTAATAACGCATATTAATTGGGCTCCAGTCTAACAATTAGTTTGTTCCAGAAATTTCTTTTGTGGCCAGCCTCCATTGATTGTAAGGTCTTTTATCCCGTATTTAAAATAAGTTGGAGAGCTGCTTATTGTTCGTGATTAGTTTAATTAAATAATTTCACGTGAAGTTTATTCTGATGACAACCAAATTGCAGAGATGTTTTTAAAGAAAACTAGGTTTTTTTCAAGGTGGTTGCAACGAAACTTAGCGAAATATTAACTCATCATCCAGAAATAGTTTGGCATTGCTCCACCCACGCTTTGTAATCTCTATCCGGTGAAAGTCCGTAACTCTGACTCGGCTGACGATTTCACTAAACAAATGATATTACTTGTGATATTGTGTTTGGTGTAATGACTTCCCGTAAAGATACCATCATCTTTCCTCCATCTTTCCTCCAGCAACTTCTTTTGAATATCTTCCATTGTTGTCTTTTGAAAATTAATTCTTAATTTATTTTGGTTCGTCTCCAATTCGAGGTCTGGCTTCATAAGAATAGTGCATTCCAGTGTTCTTCTTCCTCTACACGGTCTTTTCAGCTGTGTTACGCAATTTCACCATCGACGTTTAGAGGTTTCCGTGTTTGCTATCCTTTACCCGGGTTCACCACTCAGCCTTGGTAGTGGATTTTCGTCGTTTACAGTATCTTAGTTAAGAACAAGTCTCTGTCAGAATCGCTCCGACGAAGGGCTAACGCTCGAAACGTCAGCTTTTGTAATCGTTACGGTGGCCAATTTACCACTTCAACTTTGTTGATATATCCAAGTTATTTCGTTACTCCCACCGACGCAGCCCCAAACAGTTTCTTTCGAAACTATCAGCCTTTATTCATCTGTAAGAATCAAACATCTTGAAAAGTGAAAATTTTCAACCCCCCCTTCAAATTTTGCAGGCAGCTAGTCACTCAGGGGGAATGCACAAAAATCCCCTTTTTAAAGGTTGCAGCACTTGTTGCCATGGTAACAACGGCTGCTTGTTCGAGGCCAAGAGATTATTTATCTCGGTACAGTTTCGGTCATTTTTGATGTAGGGTAAAACAGTGAAAACGTTTATCTGAATTTCTCCAAAAGTACACCGATTCTGGAACTGAAACCACCCACCTAGTTGGTTATAATATTCTACTTTTTAAATATGTAAAAATCTCTGCAGGCCGGCCTCTACTTTTCATACGGGCAACTCGCGAACGAAGCTCAAAAATCAGATGTTGCATAATTTGGCGATGTTTACATCTAATGTTTTCAACAACAAACATCTCAGACAAATGAAACGTGTAGGCTTGGAAAGAATGTTATCTTATGAGCAATATCCCGAAGAGAAATCTCGCCTCAGGTTGTCATCTTTGAAAAAAAGTTGATTAGCCTTTATGGAGGGCTACACGACGTAACCTCAAATCGTGTGCATATCATCCAGATGATTCCGAGCGCTGCACATTATGATTTCATTAAATCTTCATGACCAAAAACTGTACCGAGATAAATAATCTATTGGTGTGTTCACATTCACTCCCAGGGAAAATTGAATGCATCAAAGTAAAGACAAATGATATCACTATATATGGTAGAAGTACCAATCTGTAATGTTGTATTTAGTTTGAGATAGAGAAATAAACATTTTACTTTTTTTGAGATGTTTTTGTTTGAAAATGAGGCCCCAGGCCTCCAACAAGCAGCCGTTGTTACCATGGTAAGAAGTGCTGCAACCTTTAAAAAGGGCATTTTTGTGCATCCTCCCTGAGTGACTAACTGCATGCAAAATTTGAAGAGGGGTTGAAAATTTTCATTTCCCAAGATGATTGATTCTTACAGACTTAAATAGGCTCTGTCACTGATTTTGTACTGGCCTTCCGAATACTAAAGTTTAATCTTCCAGTTGTGGTGATACACCGTTTAAACTTCATTACCTGGGGAACGTTTAAATGCGAAACAAAACCAGTGAGTAAAAATCTTCTCTTAGAATGGAGCACAAGGTTGAATGGCTTCAAAAACCCGCTCTTGAGTTTCTCACTTATCCCTTCTGGCAATTGGGTGAGCGAATTTTATTAATGCTGCTGCGTTAGTTTCGGCCCTTTCTTTTCTTATTCTGGGCTTTTGAAGGCGCGGTTGTATTTAAATCTCCCGCTTCAGTGCTCACGAATAATTCATGTCTAGGCATTCTGAACGATGGTTGAAATCGTGTCCCAAACGAGCAACGGGAAATTACAGTGAGAGCATTCGAAGCCTTCGAGGGGGATCGGATCCTCATAAAGACTACCTTTTGGTGACGGATGCGCTGGGTGTAAAGCGTAACACAGCTAGGAGCATTGTGGCAACGTACATCCGAAAGGGACATACGCATGAGAGATCACGTGGTAGCTGCAATAAGGTGAAGGTGGATGAAGAAATGAATGAGATAGTGGATGCGAACAACATGCTTATTTTGAGTGAGATTAATCAGGGGTCTCCTGGAATACTTCTAGCTAAGCCACACGACAATACTGTTGGAAAAACCCTTGACGGTATGCTGATACGTATTAGACTTGCAAGGCCACTACCAGCTGACTGAAACAGGCCGGATGTCATCCAAAGTCGAGCTGATTACAGAAACTGCTTCATGACGAACAGAATTCCTCATCACTGCGTATTTATCGATTAATGCGGATACAACATACTGCTATAAGCCATGGTCGAGCAAGAGTTGGTGAAAGAGCTTTGGTCGGCGTGGGAGAAATGTATCGATAACTTCGGCCGTGTTTCCAAACGCTGGCTTGGTCCATTACACTAGTGCAGCCGGTTGGTGGAATGAATGGACGAGCGTTCAATGACTCTCTGGCTATAGCTCGACGCCAACTCAACCCGGACGAGCGGGTTTATATAATATACGATGGAGCTCCAGAATATCGAAACGCTGTTAAACTAGCAGTAGAATCCAGAGCTTTTAAAGTCTTAAAAGACTTTGCCAGCTTACAGCCCCTTACTCCACATAGTGGGAAATACGATCAGTGCCTTCAAAGTGGTGATAAAGGCAGAAATGTCAAGACCCGCAGTTTAGCTACAGTTAAACGATGGAGAAGAGGCAAGACGGCAGGGTATTCTTATAGGAAACTACCGTCGACAAATTCTTTCAAGAATGATAAGTTTATGCAAACCTGTAAACCACGATATCTTAGAAGGGAGCATATCGAAGGATGAGCATAAAAGTACATAGACTTCTCTCATTACCCTAGGAAGAGGAAGTAATTGTTGATACATCGGCTTTAACTATTGTTGTTTCCATTTAAGTGAAACTACATTCGGTGGCCAATTTACAATTTCAAATTAGTTGATAAAACCAAATTATATTTGCCTTCAGTTAATGAATGTTCCTCTTTATATGAAAATCGTTATTGATCACTCTAAAATTGGAACGCTTGTTTATTCTCCAAGCATTATTACACATTCATTGTAATGACTGATTTTTGTGCTCTAATGAAATTATGTTCTGGCAATGGAGGGCAAAAGGTGTAGTTGCCCATTCTGGTGTGCGCCGTTCGGTACAAGAGCAGGCCCCACAGGTTACTCTACATATCTAATCAGACGCTATTACTTATTTGTCAAAAAGATACACACAAAACTATTCTTAAATAATATATTTGAACACTGGACGAGGAAGTCTTCAAGATTCGCTTTTTATGAGACTAAACGGATCCCGACTTACAAAAGTACGATGAATTGTTATTTCAACCTAGCTTGATATGAATGGAAATGATTCTCATTCACAACATGTTACGTTATCTAAGATAATTGTCTCTACTCATCCTCCATGATAATTAACAATTATTCCACGAGCGCGCGTTGGATATGAGATGATAGATAGCCAACGAGGCATGTAGCGCCGAGTTGGCTATATTCATCTCATATCCAACAAGCGCGAGTCAAATAATTGTTTTATTAAAAACGTTAAATTGAATTATTAAATTTTATTAAATTTTTAGCTCCCTTTTAATTTTAAGCTGACACGTACGCTTACCATATTTGTAGATTATGGTATATTGGCTGATATAGCATAATGGCTACGCCAATAAAAAGTCTTGAATTGCATTATCCAATGATCTAGTTTTTAATAATACTACGCGCCTCGTTGGCTATCTATCATCTCATATCCAACGCGCGCTCGTGGAATAATTGTTAATTATGCCGATATATAAACTTTCTGGCAATGTGATATGTAGAGTGCCACAATGCCCTTAGTTTGTTTCTGATGCTATGGTGGCATTCCTTCAATGCTCTAGGATAAATGGCTGTTTGTTATCGTTGTTCTTGTATTTGTTAAGAAATTCCTTCATACTGTCATCCAGGGTCCCTTTGTTACCAGCAAAGTAAGCAGTGGTTGCATTTTGGAGGAGTGACAATTGTTTATTCATAACTTTTACCTGATGAGGAAGTAGGTTAAACAGACAGATAGCAAAACTAATCCAAAATGACCACATACAACATACAACATACAATTAGGCATTCCTCACTACAACGAAACATTGGTACTCAAAACCTGTGATGAATTCTGCTAGATTTCCATGTCACTGACCCAGAGATACAGCCCCCAAAGCAACGCTCACAGTTTATGAATTGCACGCTCCTACAAGAGGAACAGTTCTGGCTCAGACTTTGCAAGGCATTTGCGACCTCGAACAAGAAATCGTAAATATGACTTTCACATTTTCTAAACGCCCCCAATTTGTCCTAATTTCAATAAAAGTTATTTCCGTTGATTATTGAAAATGTATCAGGTTAGATATACCGTAATTAAATGGAAATGAGTGGCATCTTCAAAGAAATTCAGATTTCGTGAATGCCTCGGATGAAACCCTGAATAAGTTCTTTAATGTTCTATTTTCAAAAGGAGACTTTGCTGAGAATTTTCTCATTTTAACCCGCTGAGCTTATTGCGGTGGTGAGAAAGCGAACTGTAAGCTGGACAAAAATAGCAAAAATACGTTGTTTTCTTCTAAAAATCTGAGTTTGATCGCTAAATCGCCCCGAAGTCAGCCAAATTTTTCTTTTTGGACATCATACTTCTGCTTTGCCTCTTTAGCTTTCAGAACTGTCGCTGCTGTTCTTGGTCCAGCTTGGATGGATTCTAGGTCTGTTCTGTAAGCATCATATTCTATTCTGGCAAATTCATAAGCTTTCGCTGTCATGATGGAATCCTCTATGGTTTTGTGCACCAAAGTCGTCAAGTTGGACGTAAAAAACTTAAGTGCCCCAAGAAGAACTTCTCCATTCTTAACCAGTAATCTTTGGTACTCAGCATTGCAGTTCAAGTCACCCTGAAGTTCTGATGATTTCACCCCTAAATCTGCAAAGGCATCGGCAAGACCTCTTTGACTCTGAACCATATTCTGTAAATGGTTTGTCATCTGTTTCGCCAGTTTTAGAACATTAACGTACTTAACTTGAGTTTCTTTTAACAGAAGAATTTGTCCTTCAAGTTCTTTGTCCACAGTCCTTGTACCTTTACCTAAACGTTCAGAAAGATACTGTCTGGTAAATTTATATGTTGAGATACTCCATTTCCCTAAGTGATCTATTTTCTGAGACGTATTTGCTCGAATTAGAGCTTGTGAAGTGGGATGACCACTTGAAGACGTCCCTTCAGATGACTGCCATGGCGCTGGTGATGTGGCAGGCCCTGTTGAGAAATGGTTAGGGAAAAGCGTAAACGATGTTAGCAAAAAGTTGTGCCAATAACTGAAGATAAACTACCTCAGATGAAGTCTTGTCCCTCAATTGATTACCAGTACAAGAATGAAGACAATGGAATTTACTTAAATTAGTACACAAAGCTTTGTATAGACCGTTTTGGCCTGAGTATTTGCACTTAAATGTAGACAAGCCATCCAGGAATTTAATATTTACCGGTGGTACACAATTACAAATCCAACTGATAGCAAATAATTTTCAAGACCACGCAGTTGCTCTTTTCGATAAGCTCTAGAGAATTCTTAGAAACACAGTGGACCGTGTCATTTTTAGCAGAGGTAAAATGCTTCCTACTTAACAAAGCTAAAGCAACTAGAACATGTTAACCTCCTCAATTAGTGAACCAGTTTCTTCCAATTATTATTATTTTAGCTATTCTTTCGTCACTATATCATTTTAATTGGTCGGGAGGTTGCTAAGCACGAAAGAAGCGTGAGAGTCGCACGAGGCGATAGTTGAGTGCGACTCTAGCTTCTTGAGTGCTTAGCAAACTTCCCGAGTGCATCCATAACCCGATGGTTGCACGATTCACGTTATCCATTTCTTTTTCAACATTGAGCCTTACAAACATCTTTCGTTTCGTGTATAAATATTTATTGAAATTCGTTCTGTTTACACGAATGCAAAAGCACAATCAACGCGCGAAAATGTTCATTCAAAAAATTGGCAAAGCAACACAGCAACAGTTTTCTTGAATCATCGCGGTGAGATAGTTCGCGTTTTTCGATCTCAGACCAATAAACAATTTCAAACTGCTCAGTAAACCTAAATATTGAACTGGCAACAAGCGAAAGTGCTGTCAGTAAAACTTCGTCTCAGTCAGGGGTCGGTTTCCCGGAGAATCGAAGACTAACTGCACAATCTAAAAAGAGCAATCTTGGTAAATCGCTGAAACACACTCTTTACAATTGCTGCAGCTATTTATTACTCACCTCGAAAGGTTGATACAGACCAGTTCGTTGTTTTCTTGTTATTCTCTGAGTGTCTTTGTTCAACCAGCTGATTAAGCTCCTGCTTGCTTAAGTTCGCAAATCTCGAACTCTTAGCTCGAGGTCCGTCAAAAAAATTGAACTCGAAATTTGGCAGCTCACAAGAATTATCTTCCTTATCTCTGGAAAAACTACATGATTTTTCCATATTTCACGAGCGAAAAAAAAACACAAAAATCAGGAATTATGTTGTAAGAAGGGACGAAAAAAGTTGCCGTGAAAAAAAGAAAAGCAAAACAAACTGACGTCAGCGTGCAACCCAGGGGTAAATGGATCGAGCATATTAGCCAATCAGAGCTCGCGCTTTTGTAAAGCTATGTTATAATGGAGATTAAAGATTTTCAGAGACGACAATTCCTACTTACTGAGCGTGTTCCTTTACTGCACCCCATGGACTATGTGTCGTCATTGAACACTTCTTAATTCGCCTTTTGATGTGTGGTTGTGCGTGCCAAAAATACCGATGCATACGATACGATGCTGATGCAGAAATTGTTTCTCTGCCGATTTATTTGCGTTTGTTTTCAATTGTGCATATTAACGTAGAATTTAAGAAGTAAACTTTTTTAAAATAGTGAGCGTGGAAGCGGATCTTTTCCCAGATCGTACAACTACGAAATGATAATTTACAGAATGATACCAGTTTTTCTAATTCATCTCTGTAACACATACATGAACTTAACATGCCTCCAACATTTGTAGAAAACAGCTCTCTGATAAAGATGTGGATTTAGCACTAATAGGATAGAATAGGTAACTTGTCACGTTTCTCATTATTAGCCTCTTAACAATCGCAATATTTTTACATGTTTGTCGTTGGTTGGTCTCTGGCAACATATGACCAAAGAATGCTTCAAAAGAAGCATTTTGTTCCTGCTTACCTCTGGAGGCTTTGTTGGAATCCTTTGGCGCAGACATCATCTTTAAAAAACACGGACTTAGTATCCTTCGTCAAGCTACAAGTTTAGAAATCACATGCGCGCAGTGAATTTGAACAAGCAAGGGCACCGGTACCCGCACCGGTACAGGTACAAGCAAGGGCACCGGTACAGGTAGTTACCTGTAGCACAGCTTGCGACAGAATGGCAAGACTATTACGGGAAGAAGCCATTGACTCCCACGGGTTGTTTAAAAGGCGCAAAAAAGAGTAGATATCACAAACACACTGACTTAGCCAAAGAGAATATTATGCAAGAGTTGCAGCGTACTCGTGACGTAAATTATGGTGGGAGCGAACGGCCATGATCGAAACGAAACTTTAGTAAATAGCGGGGAAAAAAATTCACGAATATTCCACACAAGACCCTTTAAACACAAATTGAACTCGAAATAATGTTTTTCAAGATAAGTGGAAAGTGTCTTTCAAAATTTTGAAGTATGCTTACAATAAACAAGAGTTTTGTAACTAATTTTCTCACTCAGTCGCTTGGAGGGAAAGAAATCTGGCATCAATATCTTTTGCATGTCTCTGTCGAAGAAAATTTTAAACCACGCAACCTTTGGGTAATATCAGAATAAACTGGCATGAAGTGGTAAAAGTATAAAGTAGAAGAGTCGAAAAACTTAAAGATGGCTACTTAAATGGTCACCTAAGCCACATGGTACTAATCCAGTGTTGTTTTAAAGATAACCGGTAGGACACATCTAACCGACTGTAATTATTTGGCTTGAACGGATCAAGTGAGTAAACGGTCTCAATCTAAGAAACTTACCTTTCAGATTGGCGTGACACTCAGCCGTTTGGCATCTGTGCATAGAAACATGGACAAACTAGGTGAAAGCATAGCTTCCTTGGAAATGGCACTTAAAAAGTTTGGATACAACGACATTTACAGTGCTGTTATCTTATCAAAGCTGAGCGTGGTGTACTGCTACAAGGGGGATTTTGAAAAAAGTGTTGAGCTTGCTGATAAAGCTAAAAAAATTTCAGATGAACGATATGGCACAAAAAGTCATCCCGGTAGGTTGTTGTTAATTTCCATCGTATTCTCCACAAAGTTATCTTTTTTGTCATTGATTAAACCAGAGAGGTTAATTTATTCAGATGTCTTAATCGCACCGTTAGCCAGTGGCATTATTCTTTCAGAAATTAAAAACTTGAGAGGATCATTTTTATTACAGCTAAAGCTACAACATTGCTGAATTTTGGACATGCACAAAGCGACGTGGGAGATGTAGAAGATGCAGTGAATCATCTTAAAGTGGCCTTAGATATAAACAAGGCAATCCGCGGTAATAACCATCCCATTGTGGCCACCAACTATAATTACTTGTCTTATGGGTACTTACAGATGGGAAAGTTTCAGCAAGCCAAGGAAGAGCTACAAAACGCTAGACAGGTTATGGACAATTACTCTCGCTCCCACCCAGGTAATAGGCAACAGTGTTACTTTGAACAGCACGACATTTACTCTTAAATCGTAGAAATGGATTTAGTTTCGAGCATCCTTCATACTTCATAACGAGGAGAGGGTATCTCCCATTTTTTTAGAAGGACCTGTCCCACTTTAACTGCTTTTTTGTGCAAAAGCTAAAAAAAGATTGACTGGAGAGGGGTTACCCTTCAACCTGAATAAAGCTCGAGATTGGACCCAGATAAGATGCTAAACTGAGGAGTCCCTTAAGATCTCAGCTCTCCAGCACATTTAATTTTTTGATGTTAACGTAAATCAGGGACTTTTCAATCGAAAAACACAACAACGTATGAACAGTGCGACTATTTTTTTCTTTAAAGAGGTAGCTAATACTCTAAAGAGGCTTAGCAAGGTCTGCTTGATCCTGGGAGAAGCCGTCGAAAGTGCGGAGGTAGCTAACCGTGCTCTCCAAATCTATAAAGAAACGTACGCAGATACTGTGGAACATAGAGAGGTAAGCCAAAAGACACTGCTTTGTTGGTGCCTAAAAATTTCGACTATGAATTTTCTCTTTTGTTTGGAAGAAGCCCTTTTGTCTTATGTCTAGGTATATTTCAAACGAAAACTTATCTTGCGATATAAACAGCTGGCCTTTTGATTTAATTGGTAACTGTTTTTTAATTATATGCCGGTTATGGATATAGGGCCCTTTTTCAACCTTTTTTTCTCTTCAACGTGCCAAATTTAACAAATAGATTTGATGTGGCTGTGAGTCTATTCAGTAATAGATCACAGTGAGTTAAGAATAAAAAAGTGGCACACAAGGCGCATCCCAGTGTGTCACTGATGTTCTAGCACACAAGGCGCAGCCCAGTGTATCACTGATGTTCTGGCAGACACGGCACAACCCAGTGTGTCACTGATGCTCTGGCACACAGGGCGCAGCCCAGTGTGTCACTGATGTTCTGGCACACACGGCGCAGCCCAGTGTGTTACTGATGTTCTGGCAGACAAGGCGCAGCGCAGGGTGTCACTGATGTTCTGGCACACAAGGCACAGCCCAGTGTGTCACTGATGTTCTGGCAGACACAGCGCAGGCCAGTCTGTCACTGATGTTCTAGCACACAAGGCGCAGCCCAGTGAGTCACTGATGTTTTAGCACACAGGGCGCAGCCCAGTGTGTCGCTGATGTTCTGCCACACAAGGCGCGGCCCACTGTGTCACTGATGTTCTGGCAGACAAGGCGCAGCCCAGTGTGCCACTGATGTTCTGGCACACAAGGAGCAGCCCAGTGTGATGTTGTGGCACACAAGGCGCAGCTTAGTGTGTCATTGATGTTCTGGCAGACACGGCGCAGCCCAGTGTGTCACTGATGTTCTGGCACACAAGGCGCAGCTCAGTGTGTCACTCATGTTCTGGCACACAAGGCACAGGCCAGTGTGTCATTGATGTTCTGGCAGGCACGGCGCAGGCCAGTGTGTCACTGATGTCTGGCACACAAGGCGCAGCCCAGTGTGTCACTGATGTTCTGGTACACAGGGCGCAGCCCAGTGTGTCGCTCATGTTCTGGCACACAAGGCGCAGCCCAGTGTGTCACTGATGTTCTGGCAGTG